ACAAAGCCCAAACAAGAAAGATCACCCTAATGCCTTGGGCAATAGCTATTGAAATGTTACAATTACATTGTATTAGTCTCAAAAGTCACAGGCATCTTGATGGCACTTTAATTATTCAGCTCATAATCTGGCGGACAAAGGCGAACCCACTCCTCTTGATTAAGCCCCACTTCATCTTCAACAGCATTAATGGTTAACTGGGTAAAAGCATCATTCATGTTTTTTCTTGTATCTGGGTACATGAATCCTCCAGGCCTGAAAGTTTCATATAGGTGCGGGATAACCATTAGTCTTGCTGTCTTTCCTGATAGCCTTCTTTTGACCTCTCATTCTGCCATCTCATAGCCTAGGCCTACCCTGTTGCTATTGTCTATCACCATCGGGGGTTCCTTTATTCCCTAAGTGCTTGTCCAACCCCAGTCTTGAATACCAGCCCTTGTTGATGACTTGGCTCATCACTATCCTTGAAAATGGTTGACTTTTAAATCTTTCACCTACAAAATTAACCAATTTAAAAGATCGATAGGAGCATTCTAATATTTTTCCGGTAGCCTCTACATATGGAGTATTCAATGGTTGGGTCACTAGCATGTCTTCTCTCCACTACCACTACTAATTGACCTTCTACATTGAACTTGATCTTTGGTGCAAAGTAGAGGGCACAGCTCCTGCCATATGAATCCATGGCCTTCCTAATAGACAGCTGTAGGATGGAGAGATATCCATCACTTGAAACTTTACATTGAAAGTGCATGGCCCAATTTGTAAGGGCATCTCGATATCCCAAGACTTCTCTTCTGGTCCCATCAAAGGCTCTCACAATCATCTGACTGTCCTTCATATGAGAGTAGTCAATGGGTAGCCTTGCCAAAGTTGACATAGGCATGACATTGATAGCAGAGCCATTATCGATAAGGACCTTGGCTATGATATGGCTCTTGCACTTGACTGTGATATGCAGAGCCTTGGCATTTTTTTTCCTCCAAAGGAATCTCATCATCGCTGAATGAAATGTGATTTGGCATGACTAGATTTTTAGCCAAGTGGTTCACATATTCAATAGATACATTATGTGCCACGTATGCCTAATTCAACACTTTCAGCAGGGCATTTCGGTATGGCTCTGAGTTCAACAGTAGTGATAATAATAAGATTCGAGCTTGCATTTTATTCAACTATTCCACAACTGAATACTCACTATGTTTTACCAGCTTCAGGAATTCATAAACCTTTCTTTTTGATACTAGCTTCGGACGATCTTCTTCAGGTTCTACTTCAGGATTATTCTATCTTTCTCTTTCTTTAGCCTTCTCCCTTCTAGCCTTCTTTAACATTTTTAGAGTGTAGCACCTCCCACTTCAGGTAATGCCTCCTACACCAGTTATATTGGAAGTGTTGACTTTGAAAACATCTTTTTTTTGCCCCTGAACTACAGTGTCATAGCCATATCTCCAGGGTATAGCTTTATCATCCTTGTACGAAAAAAGAGTCGAGACTTTAAAAGTTATCGACCTGGGGATGAGTTTGTCTATGATTGACTTCGGTTTGTTCCCACATTAAATTGTCACTGGTTTTGGAAACAGTTTTACAGGCTTATCTGTCATGGACACCTCAACACTCTTTAAGTCTTCTCTTTCTTCATAGACCTCCATCTGATATGAATCCAAGAGTTTTTGTACCTCTTGGTGAAACTGCTCACAGGTTTCAATGGAATGGCCTATTGCCCCATTATGATACTTACAACTAGTACCAGCTATATATGCTCCATGATAGCTATGTGGACTTACTAATTGTATCATGTCAGCTCTCCGTAAAACATCGAACAGTTGGCTGAGAGGTGTCTTAATATCTGCCACTCTTTTCTTCACATGGCACTCTGTTCTTCACTTATAGCATTCACATTATGATTCGCAAAGGATTGCCACTAACATTCGGTGCAGTCACCCCTCTCGTATCAAAGCAAATCATTCCATCCTTGATCAACCGTTGCACTTTTGTTTTAAGGTGGTGCAATTTTGGTGGAGTGACCGCAATCCCATAATGGTAGTCACAGTGGGCTGTGGGATCGTACCACTTGGGGTAAGGTGGCTTGAGGGGTTCCAATTTACTTGGAGCAATCAAATGACTGTTGTAAAGCTCCTTATATAATTCTGTATAAGTCATTGGAATTGGGTCAAACACAAGTTCCTCATAGGTAGTTCTTTGCTCTCGCAAACCACCAATAGGGTTAGTTGGGTGATTTTGGGGTCTTGGGGTAGGCTGTGTTAGGACTGTACATGGTATTTTGAGGCCTATGAGGGGTTTGATATGTTTGGAGGTATGGTGATTGTACAAATGGTTGGTATGGGTAAAGGGAAA